CACTAGCTGATACACTATCTTTTAACAAACCCACTATCACCTCTAAAATTCTCTTCACATTCTTGCGCAATTCGGTTAAGTTTTTGAGTGCATCTTCTGTCAGAGAGATTTGATATTCAGTCTTGCTTGTACAGTAGATGGTCTCAGTGCTATGCAGGATGAAGTACCAGTCCATGGCTATTTATTCAAAAATTGTGAGGCACGGATCAGTAATGCGTATATCGGAAGAAAAAGATAACTGAATTTTTACTTCCCTCTAACCTGTTGTGACGATACCATAAACATACTCATACTCAGGGTCCAGGACTTTTGTCTCCAATATTTTTCGTCAGAGCCTCTTCATACTGTTGTACATACTGTAGTAAACATGCGCTTATTTTCTAGGTTTGGAATTCTTTCGGCAGAAAAAGATAGTACAATAATCGTATTTATTGGGAATAAGTGTTTAGTTACAAATACTATTTGTTACACGAAAAATGAATTAATAAAATTGATATTTGAACCAACGAAATAAAACATCGCAAAAAATTATGCTAGCTTTGGTAAAAAAAATACAAAAATTGATTGATAAAAATTTAAAAAATGTTGGTAAAAGTGCCGATAATAATATTCCAATAGCTATTAAAATAATACATATAACAATAACATAACAATCGACACTACTTCACCGCAGTTGATTAAACAATATAATTATTTCTACAAAAAAAATCAGCGAATTTAATATCAATGAAAAAAATCCCAATTGTTTTTCGTCATTTTTATATGTCGTCGAACCAAGAGAAACAAGGATAATTAGGGCGTCCAAGTAGAGTCCAAGGTAAATTAGCTTTTGGTTAATTTCCTAACGAAAAAGGTATGTCAAGAAGCAACGAAGGCGCTAAAATAATTTCAGTAAAATATTTTAACAGAATACGCGTCTCCTGGCTAAACATACTGATTTTTCACGCTAAGATATTTCTTTTTCCACCATGGCTTGAATAAAAATAATTTTTGAATTGTTATCTGGCAGAGCGTTAAATGCTCTTCTTTGTCATCCGGTTAACTCATTAAAGACTTTTGTTTCTTCTTCATCGAAGCCTAGTTGTTGGGGGATGGTGGCCATTTTAGCTGTTGTTGAAAATCGAAAATTTGAGAGATGAATAGAATTGATAAGAGTTAAGA